GGGCACTACAAACTGAATCAGGAAACAAATTTCTGAGGCAGCTGTCCTCAACCATGGGACCTAGGGGCTCTCTTCTCTCCTTTTTTTTTTTTTTTGTCTTTTTTGAGACAGGGTCTCACTATGCAGTTCAGACTGGTCTTGAGCTCACTTTGTAGCCCAGGCTGGTCTCGAACTTGCAACGATCCTCCTGCCTCAGCCTCCCTAGTGCTGGGATTACAGGCGTTCGCCACCATTCCCGGCAGTTTTTGTTTGTTTGTTGAAGCGGGGGGCTCTCTTCTCAAAGCAAAGTCCTTTCTTTTATTGTGGTGGTGCTGGGGTTGACCCCAGGGCCTCCCATTGAACTACACTCCCAGCCCTATTTGTTTTTATTTCCAGTGAACATCTCAGTATTTTGCCTAGGCTGGCTGGAATGGGATGCTCCTGTCTCAGCCTCCCCAGTGCTGAGAGTACACGCACAGGCTATTGGGCCCTGCTGGAATATATATTATTGAGTAGAGTTTACATGAGATATAATCCAGATATAACCAAACAAGCTACGAATAAACCTGGCAATTGGCCTCTTCCTTCCATCCAGGGTCACCTGGGCGGGCCCTGAGAACTCAGGCGGCGGCGCACTGCCCCTCCCTGGTGGCCTCAGAGCACGCAGCAGAGCCTGGGAGGAGCCGCCTCTTCTGTGTGCGCGCCGGGAGGATGAACCTGCGCCCGGCGGCCGACAGGAGGCGCCTTCCCAGCGCGCCCTGCAGCGCCAAGCCCACACTGCCCCCTGGAGGCCGCGCCTGCCATGACACCTGGGAGAGCGGATCTTCCCCCAGAGGGAGGGCCTGCGTAACGGCCCCTTGGGTGATTGATTGATTTAGACAGGATCTCGCTATGTAGTTTAGGCTGGCCTTGAACTCACTAAGTCGCCCAAGGTCACTAAGTCTCACCAGTCTTGATTTCTTGGCGATCATCCTGCCTCAGCCTCCCGAGCGCTGGGATTACAGGCATGTGCCACCACGCATAGTTTTTGAGAGACTGCTAAACTACTTTCTAAAGCACCTAGGCCATTTTAAATTCCCTTAAGCGATGTGTGAGGGTTCCTATCTCTCCACTAATACTTGTTATTGTCTGTCTCTTTGATCATATCCATGCCAGGGGCATGAAATTGGATCTCATAGTGGTTTGGTTTGTTTGTTTGTTTTGTCTTTTTGAGACAGGGTCTTGTTATGCAGTTCAGGCTGGCCTTGAGCTCACTTTATAGCCCAGGTTGGTCTCCAACTGGCAGCAATCCTGCATCAGCCTCCCAAGTGCTGGGACTATAGATGTATGCCACTCTCCCAGTAGTTTTGGTGTAGATTTCCCTAATGACTAATGATGTTGATCATCTTTTCATTTACCCACTGGCCATTTTTACATCTTCTGTAGAGAGATGTCTATACAGATTTTTGGCCATTTAAAATTGTTTACCCTTAACTAGGAGTGGTGGCACATGCCTGTAATCCCAGCACTCGGGAGGCTGAGGCAGGAGGATTGTTGTGAGTTTGAGACCAGCCTGGGCTACAAAGTGAGCTCAAGGCCAGCCTGAACTGCATAGAGAGGTCCTGTCTCAAAAAAAAAAATTGTGTAACCTTTATAGCTCTTAAAGTTCTTTATTCTGAATACTACCTTCTTACCAGATATATGATTTACAATTACTTCTATTCTATAAGTTGTCTTTCTACCTTCTTTATGGTACCCTTTGAAGCCCAAAGATTTTTCTTATTTTCCTTCCCCTTCCCTTTCCCCTTCCTCTCCTCCTCTTCCTTGTCCTCCTTCTTCTTCTCTTTTATAGGTCTTTTTTTTTTTTTCTTTTTGAGACAGGGTCTCGCTGTGCAGTTTGGGCTGGCCTTGGGCTCACTTTGTAGCCCAGGCTGGCCTCGAACTTGCAACAATCCTCCTGCCTCAGCCTCCTGAGTGCTGGGATTACAGGCGTGAGCCACCACGCCCGGCTTTCGGTCTTTTTTTGAGACAGGGTCTCGATGTGCAATACAGGCTGACCTTGAATGCACTTTGTAGCCCAGACTGGTCTCAAACTCATAACAATCCTCCTGCCTCAGCCTCCTGACTGCTGGGATTACAGGCGTGCACCACCGTACCTGGCAGATTTTTCATTTTGATGAAACCAAATTTATGTACTTTTATTTTGTCCTTTATGCTTTGGGCATCATATTTAAGCAACCACTGCACATTAATCAAAAGTCACAAAGAGCTGGGTGTGGTGGTGCATGCCTGTAATCCCAGCACTCAGGAGGCTGAGGCAGGAGGATCCTTTTGAGTTCAAGACCAGTCTGGGCTACAAAGTGAGGTCAAGGCCATCCTGAACTGCACAGTGAGACCTTGTCTCAAAAAGACCAAAAAAAAAAAAAGTCACAAAGATTCACTGCTATAGCTAAGAGTTACAGTTCTAGCTCTACACTTTTTTTCCAGATTAAGAAGCTATGAGCAGGGGGCTGGGGATTTAGCTCAGCGGCACAGCGCCTGCCCGGCAAGTGCAAGGTCGTGAGTTCAATCCCCCATACTGGAAAAAAACCAACCCCCCCCACCGCAAAAAAAAGCTCTGAGCAGGGTGTGGTGCATACCTGTAATCCCAGCACTTGGAAGGCTGAGCCAGGAGGATCGTTGTGAGTTCAAGGCCAGCCTGGGCTATGAAGTGAGTTCAAGGCTAGCCTCAACTGCATAGCAAAACCATGTCTCAAAAAGACCAAAAAAAAAGAGCTACACGCAAGCCAGGCATAGTGGCACATGCCTGTAATCCCAGGACGCTGGGAGGCTGAGGGAAGAGGATCACAAGTTTGACCCAACCCGGACAATTTAGAGATTTAGGGAAACCCTGTCTCAAAATGAAAAAGGGGTGGCAGTACAGATCAGTGCAAAGGCCCTGGGTCCCTGGTCCCACACATACACATAAGAAGTGGGGAAGGAGAAGGGACAGTGGGGGAGGGGGTGAAAGACGGGGAAGAAAAGCTCACCAAATTCTTAATAGTCATCACTTCTGGCGAAGTGAAGGAAAGTGAAGTTGGGTTAGGGATTTTTGTTTATTTGTTTTCGAGTACCGGAAATTGAACTCACGACCTTGAGCTTGCCAGGCAGGCGCTGTGCCACTGTAAATCCCCAGCCCCTGGTTTAGGGATTGAATGGGGATTGAATGGGGATTTGAACTCCATATATTTTGGTATTGTTTGGATTTATTTTTTAACCCCGTCTCACTTTGACAATTCAAAATCATCAACAGCATTTTTAAAGGATTCAAGATGAAAGCAGAATGGTGGCGCAGGCCTGTAGTCCCAGCCACTGAGAAGGCTGAGGGGCGGGATTTCTTAAGTCCAGGAGTTCTAGACCAGCTGCACAGCACTGAAACTTCGTCTTTTTTTTCTTTTTGGTGAGACAGTCTAGCAACTAGTTCAGGCTGGCCTTGAACTCACTGTGAAGCCCCCGCTGGCCAGAAACTCCAAGTGATTCTCTTGCCTCAGCCTCTGGAGTGCTGGGATAACAGGCATGCGCCACCACACCCGGCTCCCATCTCACTTGTTAAAAAACTTCAGCCAGGTGTTGTGACACAAGCTTGTCATCCCAGCACTCGGGAGGCTGAGGCAGGAGGATCATTGTCAGTTCAAGGCCTGCGTGGACCACCTAGTGAGACGGCTCAAAACAAAAAGAACTAAAACCGCTTTAAATTGTAAAAACCATTTGCCATTCATCTGGATTGGAGAAAGAAAGGAGGAGGTAAGGAGCGGCAGGGAAGGCAGAGGCTGGAGAGGGACCTAGGGACAGATCAGTCCCTGTCATCTTTGTTAAGGGGAGGGGTGCCCTGATCAGATCTGTGCTTTGGAAAAGTCACTGTGGGGCGGTGGGACTGTGGACGGATGGGGAGACATTTGTTAGGAGACTGCGGCCGAAATCCAGAGAGGAAAGGATGGTGGTGGAGCCAGGGACCGCATGCCTGTCATCACAGCAGGAAGATCTCAAGTTCAAGCCCAACCTGGGCACTTTAGCAAGAGCCTGTGTCAAAACAAAAAATAAAGAAGGGATGGAGATGTAGCTCAGGGCAGCGACCTGGGTTGAATCCCCAGTAAGGGTGTAGGACGCGGGCAGAGGTAGGGGCGGAGAAGGGCCTGCTGGAGAGACCCGCAGGGAAACGCACGGCCCGGGCGCTCGGGGGCCCACGCTCGGTCCC